AATGTCATTTGTATTTATATAAGGGTTATTTTCAAAGTCAGGAATTTTCTCAAGGAAAATTTCAAGCTACTACAGGCCAGGTGCAGTGGCTCATACCTGTAATCCCAGCACTTTGCGAGGCTAAGGGGGCGGATCACATAAGGCCAGGAGTTTGAGACCAGCCTGGCCATCATGGTGAAACCCCGTCTCTACTAAAAACACAAAAATTAGCTGGGGGTAGTGATGCAAGTCTGTAAACCCAGCTACTAGGGAGGTGGAGGTTGCAGTGAGCCAAGATCACATCGCTGCACTCCAGCCTGGGCAACAGGGTGAGACTTTAAAAAAAAAAGTCTCCTGTTTAACCTGGCATCAAAAGCTTTAATCAAGGAATTGTAGTCTGACCAAAACCATCAAGGGTAGAACTTTGGCTATAAAATTTGTTTAAACTATTCTTTATGCAATACAATAACAGAAACTAAACCACACATAAAGGGAAGTCTCCCTTGTTGCAGGGTTACTTTGTTTCTTGCGCACAGATTGTATTCAACTAAAATCCCAGATGTGTAAATAAACCATATCATAAACAAACTCGAAATCCACATCTAGTTATTTTACATACTCCATACTAGCATTCCCTACTCTTTGTGAAACTCTGCACCTTTCTGATTATTATAGCCATAGCAGCTAATTTACTCAACACTCTTAGTTTGTGTCTTGTTTTCAAACATGCTTGGGGACTAATGGAACCAGGCAAGAGGTTAGAGGGTGGGCACTGTTATGCCCTAGTTCTGACAGTCTGAATGTCTTATGGTTGCCCCTGTTTATCTTCCTATTTTCAATGGAAGAAAAATCCTTTATAAAAAAAAAAAAAGAAAACAATCTGATAAATTCAAGCTATTGGTTTTAGTGTCTATTGTTTCATTGTTAATAAATGCATATATAAAACTACTAGTAACCACAACACTGGACATTTTCAGTCATGCATTAGAATGTTTGTTCTCTAAAATCAGAGTTATGGGCCTGCCACTATTGCTTGCACTTTCAATCAGGCTCAGTTTTAGTTTAATGAGCATGCAAAATAAACTCCTTGATTCAGAGGAATTATGGGAAATAACAAGGATCCATACAAGTTTCAACTCAAAAGTTGGGTTAATAATTGCTTAGAAATGCAGGTAGATGCTCCACTTCTATCACAATGCTGCTTCAGAACAGACAGAGGAGTCATACACAAAAAATGTTAAAATCAGGACCACTAATCAGTTTTAAAAGGCTTATATGCAAATCCTGGCCCTTCTGAGTAGAGAATTATATAAAAACAGTCTTAAAGAGCCATAAATTTTCTTGGCTATTACTGACAACTGTAACAGGAGAGCACAGGTTTAAAGAGCTATAAATTTTCTTGGCCATTACTGACAACTGTAACAGGAGAGCACAGGTGGTTTTTTTTCTAATTCACACTAATGAGCATTACCTGCATAGCTCCCTGGGAAAAAAATAACAAGCAAGGCTAATACAATGTAAACTCAAGCATCAATGCCCTGAAATTTAACACAGCTCTCTGCTTTTTAAAACTGTTCACCAAGGGATTCTTCCAAATAGGATATAATTAATAGCCAATTAATGTTCATTAATAAACTAGAAGCAATTTGCTTGCACCAACAGCACCATGAGAATGTAAACTCCTGAAAGCCAAGAGTCTCTTCTTATTTTTGCATATCACAGATACACGAAGAGTAAACATGAGACCACAACAACTTTTTAAAGTAACAGCAAACTTTCAAGACTGAAAGCTTGTAGTATATTTTAGCATTTAGAATTACTAACATGGCTGTTAAGGGTAATCTTTAATTGTTCCAAGTAACTAAACTGTTGACATCATTGTAATAGGTAACACTGTCCCCAGATGTGCAGATATCTGAATATTGCTTGGTTATTCCAATGTCTCTAAGACCAACTGACAGCATAGGACATTTAAAGTGGATCTACAATCAACTTAACATAGCCTTTTCCCTATGCGTTAGTTGTCATGTAAGAATTAAAAAGAGGCACTATTCCTAGATCTACATCACTTATCTTTCAGTTTTTTCCCTGGGAAAACAAGGAAATGTAGACCCAGTCTTTTCAGGGATAGTCAAAGTGCTAAAAGGCCAGGATTAGACATCAGGTGAAAGGGAGTGAAGTCACCCTAGTTCCACTATTATATCCTGATGCAAGCTGTGTGGTTACTCAGATCAAGCAAGAAACTAGTTTACTGGGTTCTCCTTGATAAATAAGCAGTCACAGGCCATAGGCCATATCTACATTAGACAAGGTTTTACACCCCACCCACCCAAACATTCAATGGCTATTCTCTTCAATCCTTCTGCCTTTCATCTTAAAATCATTATTCCCTAATCATGAGAGAAATCCAGCTTATCCATGTTCATGGGAGTTTTATTTTAAACATTAAACTCACAAACTTCTCTCCCTTTAAAAAATGTACCCAGGAAACCAATGGAGAAAGATGAGACAAAGCAGAAAGTATACCACTCTACAGAATAAATGCCTGTTGCTAAAACATCTTAAGCAAAAAACTCACACAGAGGCTTCGGTGGGGCTGTAGTACATTTGTTTTCAGGTTAAGCACTATAAAGGTTTAATTTCAACGGCTCTAACACTCTGAATTAGGAAACAAATAGGGTCTTTAACCTTTAACTTACACAAAAGCTGACATTTCTCACACAAAGATAAATTCATATACATTCATACTGTTCTAAAAATACCTTTTATATGCTCTTTATCCAGAACATTTTTTCCTTTTGTGCAACTGTTGATTGCAGAGCCCCACAAACTCAAGTAGTATCACATATTCTATTGTACAACCTTGCTAATGCAAATTACTATACATGCAAAAACTATTATTGCTACTACAATTCTATCTTAAAAATTACTATTCATGTTATGGCTTTTTTTTTTTTTTTTTTTTTTTAAAAAGAAAAAAATTTTTTTTTATTTTTTGTTCTATTTTGCATTCATTACCTTTTCTGTTTTTTTTTTTTTTTTTTTTTTAAATAATTGCTTTTCAGTAATAGATTGTCCCAGGCACTAAACTATTTAAACCAAGAATATAACTACTTCGCATACACTATGAGACTCTAAACTTGGGTCTCTGGAGATCTGCTGCCAGAATCTACTTGTTCTAACCTTTGTATGCACAAGATATACCACATTATAATAGTTTTGCATTTGTTATCATACAATAGTTATGTAGAATCTGTCAGCAAATGATGGACACTCCCTAATACTGAAATTTAAAAATCTCCTCAGAAAACTGCCACTTCTGAGTTCTCAAGGCAGCTTTTACAAGTAGGAATTACTTCCCTACAGAAAGCTATCTTATTGTTTCAGAAAGCTACCTTATTCTTATCTTTCAGAAGATAGATTTCAGAATAAACCAACAGTTTTATTTCCACAAGTAAAGTAGATAAAAGTGAAAGATGTCTGAGGCTTACTATAACCAAGGAAAAGAGTCTACCTGTTACATAGCAACCTAGGTAAGTATCACCCAGCTACATTTCCAGTTCTCGTGAAAAAATCTGAAATCCCATCAATAGACAATTCAGCAGATTTGGAAATAGGAAGAGCCCATAACAAATAACTGAATACTCCAAATTACTGAGTGTTTACACACAGCATGCTAGAAATAGGAAATGTAAATGGTCTGAAGATTAGAAAAGCACTTACTACAGCAATTAACATAGCATCTTCATAAGACATGTAAAATATAATTTCTTGACATACAAGGAGTAGGAAAATAATGAACCTAAAAGACATGCCATGTGAAGACAGTTTAAGAGCAGGCCAGGTGTGGTGGCTCACGCCTGTAATCCCAGCACTTTGGGAGGATAAGGCAGGCCGAATCACTTGAGGTCAGGAATTTGAGATGGGCCTGGCCAGCACGACAAAACCTCGTCTCTAGTAAAAATACAAAAATTAGCCGGGTATGGTGGTGCGTGCCTGTAGTTCCAGCCACTCAAGAGGTGGAGGTTGCAGTGAGCCAAGATTGTACCACTGCACTCCAGCCTGGGCCAGAGAGTGAGACTATGTCTCAAAAAAAAAAAAGAAAAAAAAGAAAAAGAAAAAAAAAAGATCAAAGAAGAATAATGAAATGGGGTCTCATTTCAACTTGAGGTTTCATAAGACACAAAGGCAGCTGGTTTCCGGGAAAGCTGAAATGTCCTCAAACTTAGTATCTCAGATTCTGATGCCATATTTCTATTCATAAATGAATCTTTTGGGCCTTAATCTCTTTTCCCCAGGGAAAATATAACAGATTTAGACATTATGAAAAAAGAAAAGGTTTAGATTTTCCACTCTTTTTACATTATTTGTTATTATCAATAATTCACCCTGAAATTTAAAATTACTAGGCTCATGCACTAACCCCTAACATGGCACTACAATATGCTACCTAGCACTAATGCTTACAAAACTATACACGTCTCAAAATGGAAGACATTGGTGATTTTGTTGTTCTTAAACAACTTGTAACATTTGTCCACAAGTATTAAAATATACATATATATATATATATATTTCTATTGCACATGTCCCATTTTTCAAAAGAAAAACTGCCAGCTAACATGGATAAGCAAGGGAAAGGAAGGAAGCATGGCTACAAATCAATGCATAGTCCCACATATATTATAGCTTTTCCTATCAAGGGGACAAAAATAGACAAGAAAAAAATGTAGATGTATTAAGAAAACACTGGGTAACTACAGCTGGAATATATGCATTTTGTTAAATGCACCTGGTCTCAACCATGGTAGATACAGAAACAATTTCAAAAAGCATTAAACGCTGGTTCTCTCAACTGTGAAATGAAAAAATATAAAGCATATGGAGACGCCGAGTCTGATATCTATTCAAACAAGTGGGCCAGAGTACAGGTGCCAGAAGTACAGGTACTCTATACCCTGTCAAATGATCCTACCCAAAAGATGCCACGGTACACAGAGAAGACAAGTAACAGACAACTGGAAGGTACAAATTCTCTATGATATGACATTTTAAACATATCAGTGGAACCCAAACATGTAGGCTCCACTGTCTTGAACAATTCCAAAATATTAAGAACATCAGGAAGTAGGTAGATTACTTAGAGAAAAATTTGGGTTACTTTTAACTAAAGTTATTTCTACTAAGCTTTATCACTTGTAGCTGCCCTCAGAAATTATATTTTACATATAATATGTAATTATTTCACTAAAAGTATTTTTTACCCATTTCAAATGGGTTGATTGACCAATCTCAGTAATTTCCCATTTTGGGCCATTTCTATCACTCTCAAATTTTGGTGACTCTGCCCTAAGTCCCAACATCACAGCATTCATGGCCCTGAGTAAACATTCTGGAAAACACACAGATGTTCCAATACTATCTGTCCTTAATTTCAACTAATTAGTTTTAAAATTTATTCTCTACTCACAAAGAAGCATAAAGGTTTCACTCTTATGTAAAGACATGACAGTACATACAATGGTCCTCAGCTGATTTGGAAGCAAGGAGAGTTTTCTATGAGAGTCTGTTCTCTATAACGAATAACTACTATGGTAAAAAAAGAAAATCCATTTCTTAATGTAACTATTTTTCTTGTTCAAGGTTTCTTTTCCACATCCTGAATCTACAATGATCCAATTACAAGTTTGGGAACATTGTTTCTGAGGCCCATTCATTCTCCGATGAGAAAGTTCAGTCCCAACCAGGAAAAGTACCTGAGTCCCAGCCTTTTGAGCCTAACACTACACCTAGTATCTTGGGTAAGAAATCAGGCCGGACGTGGTGGTGGGCGCCTGTAATCCCAGCTACTTAGGAGGCTGAGGCAGGAGAATCGCTTGAACCTGGGTGGCGGAGAGACTGACTCCAGGTTGGGCAAAAGAGTGAAACTCTGCCTCAAAAAAAAAAAAAGAAAAAAAAAAAAAAAAAAAA